GAGTCTCATGGGCTTTCCTGGTTAGGCTGACTTTGAACCCTTATCCTCAGATCTTGGCTTTCTGATAGCTAGCCACCAGAGCTCTGCAAGAAATACAGGATTTTTTTTTCTATTTATTAAAGAGTCATTCATTGCAGTGAAGTGTGAAAGTATAAGTTAGTTTCACAATTCATAATGCTGTAGGGCTGGAGACATAGTTTCCTTCCTGGTAGAGTGCTTGCCTCCCATGTGCAGGACCCTGGGTTCCATCTCCAGCACTGTGAAAAGTCCTCCAAAAGCAGATATACATATATACTTACGCATTTCCTTATCTTTTTTTTTTTTAATTAAAATGGATGCTGTCACTAGGTGCTGTAAGTCCATGAGACTCTTTATCTCCAATTAACCACCAAAAAGCCAGAAGTGGAGCTGTCCCTTAAGTGGTAGAACTGCTAGTCTTGGGCACAAAAATGTAGGAACAGCACCCAGGCCCTAAGACTGGCACTAAAAAATTAAAAAAAGCAAGAAAAGAAAGTGCTGAATATGAGCAGATTGGCTTAGTGAGAAGTTAGGTAACTGAAATGATTTTGAAATTCTTTATAGATAGGTGGGAAGATGTATGAAAGCAATGGGAGGGAGGGGCCTATATCATTAATGAGGTAGGAGGACTTTAACTATGAGTAAGGCTTGGGAACTGTGTGTGCAGCAGTTTCATTTATACTTTATTTCTTTTGCAAATGTAAACAATTCCTCTTAATACTGATTCTTTACCCAATTTTCTCTTGCAACATTGTTTTACTCCTAGCAGGAATTTATAATCAAAATATATTACCTTTCTTTTATAGTTTTATGATCTTTGTGAACTATTCAGAACTGGAGGTCAGGTTCCTGACACCAACTACATATTTATGGTATGTAAACACTGGGAGTATCAAATTCTTACTAAAATCATAGTTTAACTTAATTACATATAAATTGCCTAATAATTTCATCAGCATGTAACAATTGCTATTTTAATATATGTGTAAAGATGAGTCTATTCTTTTCTGTGTCTTTAGATAAGATATATTGATTTAGTAAAGTACTGTACAAATACAACTCAATGTAACTCGGTTGCAGCTGACAGCATTAGCAGAAAACCAGCATATAACCAGTGGTTTAAGGCATAAATCTTCATTTTACTGTTATCACACTTTGTTTATTCACTTTCAGTCCTATGACTCTGGACTGGTGAATATACACAGGTGTACTTTTGTGTTCCCTACTTTCCCTTAATACACACTTGCTGTTATAGTGGGTGTTGTGCTTACTTTCCTTTGGGAATGTAATGTTACTGTTGAACTTTTTCTGAACTTTTTTATGGTTATTTTATTTTGACATATCTGGCTCGCCTGATTCTTTTAGCTGTTTTCCTATTGGTTTACTATTGACGTAAGTCAAAACGTTAATGTCATCACCTGGAATGCTGTTTTGTTTTATTTTATTTATTTATTTATTTTTGGGTCTGGTTGTGGGGACTGAACTCTGGGCCTGGGC